TTTTTATATATAAAAATAAGTATAAAATTATGAAATATTAACGTTTCCTCTTAGGTTTAAAATGCTTCAATTCTGTTTCTACATTTGCAATACTCTTTTTTTCTGTAATCACATTAGTAGGCGCAAAAACAAAAGTTTTTGCATTTATTGATGACGATGTTTCCTTTTGTCTAGCCAAAACAGCTAAACGCGCCAACGTTTGTTCTCCTTTTGCAAGAAATGAACGCTTTTTCATAACATTCTAGAAAATTTATGTGAATTATCGTAATCAGTATTATATTCTTAGTTATCGCTAAATGTTTGTTAAAATTCTTACATGTATTATACGTGATGTTTCATCTAATTCAGAAGTGTTTAACATTTCTGCAATAGTGTGAGGCATTTTTAATTCCACTTTGAACTCCTGTGTTTCCATTAGAGTACTTTGTTTCTGGGATTCATTAATTCGTCTTTTCTTTAAAACTTTCAAACCAACATTAAATATTTTACTGCTATTTAAATCATCTTCAATTTCAGTATCTATATTTTTCTGAAAATTAGTAGTATATCATATAACAAACAAAGATAATATATTAATAGAAAAAAAATTACCACTTTTTCTGCTAGAAATTTATCTCTTTCGTGTCTTATTTTACGCCATTTTGCTTCATCTTCATCATCAGATAAGTCTACCCAACCATCTTTCTCTTCTAATGGCTGAGATTCATTATTACCATCCTGCTTATCTAGAAGAAAAATAGAAGACTGAAGATCACTGTATTAGTATTAATTAATATAAAAATATAAATTGCAAATGGAAAACCATAAAATGCATATATTGTCTTTTACCGATATTTCTCCATTTGAATTTCCTCTCTCGTGTACTCTCACTAAATAAATCACCGTCCTCAAATAACAACTCTTGAAGCATTCTTACTTCTTTCTGATCTTCATCTAACAATTGTCTCATATGAAGTTTTCCTAATTGATCTTTCACTTGTATTTCATCAATTTCTTCATTATCTGCATCTTCTAATTCTAATTTATCTAATTCCTCTTCATCCTCATCGGCAGATACATCACAGTCACTTTCACTGAGTTCGGCTTCTTCTTCTAAAAATTTGGCTGCATAATGTTTTATATCTTTCTTTGGAACAACAACTTCATTCTCTTCTGAGTCGTAATCAATAAATTTTTCATCTTCATCTTCTTCTTCAAGTTCATCTTCAAGTTCGTTGTTACTACTTAATATAGAACTGTTCTCTTCTTCTTCATCATCGGATAAATATAACTTCTTAACCCTTTTTTTTGATTGTTGATTAATTTCTTTTTCAACTAAATCTTCTTCGTCAGAAGATAAAACTCGTAACTTATTCCAAGATATTGTTTCTTCCTTTGCTTGCTGCTTATCTATTTTATCTTCTGTCTTACTAGATAGAAAATCTTTTTCATCAGGTTCTTGTATACTCTGAAATATTCCACTTGTCTTATCAGCCAGCTCTGTTTCATTATTTATTTGAGAACTAAATGTTCCTGAACACAATTCTAACAATTGTGATTCACTTACATTAGATTCTTTTGAAAAATTAAAACTAGGTTTATTTTCTGGAGATTTAGCTAAGCAAATTTCTGTGAGCTCTTCATCTAATATATCAACTGGATCAGCAAACGTGGTTTGTCTTTTGAAATCTTGTATTTCCTGAGATAATTCTCGAGTTTGTGTTTTTCCTATCAAACAAGAATCAATTTCATTATTTAACAAAGGTTTTCCTTCTATCATTGGCTCCTTTTCTTCTCCTAAGTTCACATTTAATGCAGTTAATTGGGTTAAAGGAGAAACAAAATCAAAGGTGTTGCTTCTAATTTGTGATGTTTGATTCATTTGGTACTTTAAATCATGCTCTAGATTTACTTGAAAATTTGGTATACTACTATCACTGTCATTTAATTTACATTCTTTAAAATTTTTACCAAATATATCACTTGGTGTAATCAAAGAAAAAGTTGTCTGGTTCGCATTGTTTTTATCATTTTCAGTGACTGAAGATACTGAATCATCCTCTAAAGGTTCTATAATCCGCCTAAATGTTTTACGTCTAGTTGGTGAATCAATATTAGTACTATTCTCATTTGTATCTTCTAAATCAAAGTCATGTTTCTTATCTTCTAAACTTTCCTGTACTTCATCTTCATCTTCATCTTCATCTTCATCTTCATCTTCATCTTCATCTCTGTCTTCATCTTCACTTCCATCTTTATGTTTATCTTCATTTTTATCTTTACCTTTTCCTGCATTTGGATCTTCATCTTCATCTTCATCTTCATCTTCATCTTCATTATCTCCACTCACCTCAGCTTCATTGTCTATAAAAATGCACTTCTTTCTCTTTTTTTGTTTTTTTGCATGCATATTATCTTCTATGTCATCCTCCTCAGTTTGGTAAGACTCTGTACTTGAATACAATTCATTAAAATTATCTTCTTCACTCATAGGTTCACTCCACTCTTCTTGTTCTTTTTGTTTCCATTCTTCGTTACGCTTTAATGCCATCTTATATCTCAACTCTTCTTTTAAACGTATTAGTTTTGTCCCAGGTTTATTCAATTTTGTATCTTCATTTACTATAGTAGATAATTTATATGGAAGTATTTCTTTAACGATTGTTAATCCATTTGGGGATTCTTTCACTTGCATTGCTGTTACTTGAGGTGTGACATCCATGTGTACATTGGTTTTAGAATGTTTACGTACAAATCGATCTATCAGAGCTGTTATTCCTTTCTTATTTGGTTTAACATCATCTGTTAAATCAATTACTGTACCTGGAATACCTTTTAATTTAGGTTTTGAACTTTTTATATCGAATAAAACTTTCTTCTCCTTAATATCCGACGACTCATCAGATTTAGGCGGTGGTAAACCATACTCATTATATTCATCATTTTCATCTATAGTTGTTCCTAAAGATTTTTTTACAATTTCAGCATAATCATTATTACTTTTTGAAGTACAAATATTTAAGTGTTTATTTATAATTTCTAAATCATGTCCATTGTTATCATTCCATACATTTTCCTTATTTTCATTTTCATTAATATTTATTTGTAACGAATTATCTATTGTCTTGTCTGTAATTGTTTCTGTAGCTTTTGATTTAAAATCTGAACTCTCTATACTACTAGGTTCATAATGAGTTTCTATTACCATTGAGTTAGTTACATTTTGTCCATCATTTGCCATTATTTCATTATCACCAATTTTGTTTACTTCAGTTAAAGTTTCATTCATTATATTTGTATTATCCTTTTCTTCATTATTTTTTGTGATAATCAAATTATTATCAATAATCAAATTTTGAGAAATATTATCCTCCTTTAGATTTTGCATATTTTTTATGTTTGCATATTCTAGGTTCTTGGTTTCTTTATTGACTTCAATAAGTTCTTCTTCTGAATCAGAAGACTTATAAAATGTTTCTGCTTCTTTCTCTTTTTCTTTTAAGACTTCACTGTATATTAAAGAAATTACAAAATATTTTATATATTCCATTAAAACATAATAGTATTGAACATCAATATACTACAATTATAGAAATACTTACTCAACAATAGCAGAAGACATTTTTAATTTAGCTGCCATTGTAGGTGCTTTTGGAAGAGCTGTCATTACTTTCCGTCTGCTTAAAAATTCCTGCAATGTCCGCTGCTTAGGTTTATGATATGGAAGTGAAATCTCTGTTTCTCGTACCAAACGTTGAGTTTCACTTTGTATTTGTCTCATAGTTCCTTCTTTAGCAACTTTTAATGAAACCTAGAATATAATATTACTTTTATTAAATCTAAATGCTTAATGTCAGCGCAAAAATATTATCAAAATGAAATAAAGTTTTGTATATAATTTAATCAATTAAAGTTTTTAAAGATTTTTCTTACTTTAGGCACTGAATTTTTTTCTTTAAGCTTTTTGGTTATTTTGTTACGTCTTGTAGAACTTGATAATTCTTTATTATCTTCTCTTTCTTCATCTGATTCTGAACTAATTAGAGTTTGAAGTCTGCTTTTTATCTGTGAAATATAATATTAAAAAGTTATATGATAATTAAATTATATATCTTTATCATTATTACTCACATTGTTTGTTCTTTTCTTCTCACTTAAAATTGTTTCTTCATTATCACTATCACTGCCAGTACTAAAAGCACCATTGGAATTACCATCAAAAATTTTCACAGTAGTATTTTTATTACTTAAATGTTTTGTAGATCTATTATCATGTTGAGTTTTAGATATATCATCTTCTGCTGCATCATAAACAGATTTCTTTCTATTGCAAGTAAAGAAATTTTCTTCCTCCGAATCACTATCTATTATCCGTGATAGTTTACCAAAGATATTATTTTTACATTCATTGCTTGTTCGATCATTCTCTTTCTTATTCAACTCGTCACTTTTTGCTTTTTCAACGTTGTTAGATATAGTATCAGTATCATAATCAAAATAATTAATTTTATCTTTATATTCATTGTTTTTCTCATCAATTTCTTTACTACTTTCTTTTAAGATTTGATTACATATATCACTTATGTCATTATCAGTGTATTTTTTTATTTCAGAAGATTCATGTTCCTCTGCATTGTCTTCTAATTTTTTAAATTCACATTGTATATTATGCTTATTGTTGTCTATATTATTTGTATTACTTAAATCACAATTCCCATTCATCTTGACTTTTAATTCCTTATTCCTTCGTTAAAACTTTACATTTGAATGGTTCTTTATTAATTTTCATTAATTAATATTATTAGTTACTATTAGATTATTTTGTTAAAAATATAATTAATTGTTAATACTTAATTAAAAACGAAGAAAACTGATAAATAACACATTACGATAAATGATTCATTTATTTTAGTTCGATGAATAACTTTAGCGCCAAAATGGTACAACCATAGACGAAGTATAATATAGATGTTACATTCACCAATCTATTGCAGTGACCTCTGTTTATGAACAACAGCCAGTTAAAAACTTATTTCTTTAAGTAGCATTGGAGAATAAAAGAAAGTGTGTATGTGGGTCAAAAATTCTACTTTCAATGCACTTTCTTTTATAATATGCACTTATATATAATTACATATAATTAATTTCTCGATATTCATCTCTCTCCATATTCTGTTCTTTCTTATTCTTATGTTATCTGTTAGGACTGATCATTTGCTGATGGAGAAATGAATAAAATTCAGATGGTTTCAATGATCAATCAAATCAAAATTTGATAGTAGCAGCAAAATTTTTAATTTTAGCTTCGGGTATTTATTAATTCTGAAATGTGATGAATCTGTCATTAGATTAATTCTTCCTTGATTTTAATGATTTTTAAATAAATTGTAAATGACAACATTTTAAACAATTTTGTCCCGTAACTATGTAGATTTAAATACACTGCACAGATTTCACTAGCCTTTTTAATATACTGTAGAAATCAACATTTCAAATAACTATTTTGAATATGTTAGCCTTACTCTTTTCGAAATATTTGCAAAAAATTTTTAGCACTATAACATTGAATACTATCTAGGTCTATACGAAACGGTCATTTTAAACATTATATATTAGAAAATGGTTACTCTTTATTATTTTTATATAAAAACCAAAGTTCTGATAATTATTTTTACATAACTTTATATATACAAAAGAGAAATGTAACTTTTATTTAATCGTATTACTAATTTATATTATAGATGAGTCACTATATTTGTATATAAAGTTTCACCATTGTTTTTAATTTCTGTTTATATGAGCAAAATGGCTTGAAAGAACAAATAAAATAGTGAACAATATATTACTAATATTAGCTGCTAAATATTTCACTTCTATTGAGGTACATAATATTTTTTAGTCTACAAAAAGTTAATTTTTTTCATGCATTCATATATTTTAGAAACTGACAAAGCTATTTATGATTGCAATTATAGCAATAAAATGTAGAAATTTAAAACCATAAATAATTAAGACAATATTTTTATATTTTATTATGAATTTTTCTTCCTTAAGACAATGATTAATTTTTTTTTTTATAGACATTTACTATGAATCATTCTCACAATTATTTTCTTTACATTTATTATATATAAGTTAGTTTAAAATTTTTCAAAACTAATTTTCTTCAACATTAGAGGTAGGAAAATAAAAATATTTTATAATAACAAACTAATTTAAATTAAGTAATTTTCTTTCAAAAAATTCTTCCATTATAAATTTTTAACGCGGTAGATTGTTAACCATAGAGATGTAAGTTGTAATTTGAAAAATTTGAGTTGAATTGTGTATTGAAAAATAAATTGAATTTTCTATAATAACCGTATAATATGGCATTGCAAAGAATAGCATAAATTGATTTATGGCAAACAGCTTGCCCTATAATTTCATGTATATTTTGATTATTATTGTTAAATGTAAAACAAATAACTAATTTTAAATAATTGGATATGAATTATACTTTTTGATTTTTTGTATTTCTAAAAATATGATTAAAAATGATGTATGATATTTTATTTGATTTTTTTGTGTATAAAATATAATCAATACAATTTTTTAAATATAATCATCATAAATTGTAACTTACATTTCTTAACTGTGGTTGGTTATGTTAATTTAAAGTTTATGATATTTGTATAGGTAATAGCAATGTTTTGATAGCCTTTTACCTGGTCATGAATCTTATGAAAGCAATATAGTCACAATAATTAACAAATATGTGAAAACGAATTAAGAACAAATAAAGAAAATTAATGCAGTATATGGTAATGAAATGAAAATCTATAGTAATACAAAAATATATCAGTTCATATTAATTAATATCTTTTTTAATATCTTGTCTTTAATCTTATTTTTTCTCAAAACTTCAAATTTTAGATGTTTGAAGTGTAAACGGACGAAAATAACGCAATTAATCAAGTGATATAACATTCACCACCTTGAAAAAGAACATATACCTTCGAAACTCAAAATGGTAAAGCTTCTTCTTCATATAAATTTATTTGATAATTGCTGGATATAAGTACTTTTATATATTTGTTTAAATGAATACGAATTACTAATGAATTACTTTGTTTGTAGGTTTTAAATAAATTAAACCTATAAATGATATTCATACAAAGAAAAATTAAAAATTCTTATGGATACTGGTAAATTAAAATTATAATGGTAACAAAAATGTCCAATTATATATATTATGTCACATTTCTTACTATAAAGAGATATTGCAATATTACATTATTAAATATTTTTACGCTAACATCTATTTACTTTAAAAGTTAATAGTATGAAATACAAAAATTGATACTATTCTTCATAAATTTTGAATAGGTAGAATTTGTATTATATTTTACACTTAGATATTTATTTTTCATTATTAATAGCCAAAGTAAGAACATATATTAAAATATTTTCTGTATTCATGCAAGATAATAGCTCTATATTTCATCTAATAATAAATTTTATTTACTTCAATAATAATATTTTGATGATTATTAATTATATTACTATCATAATTTCACACTTACATAAAATATAAATATAAAAATATAAATTTTTCATATAAAACTTACACATTTGAATTTTATTTAAGCTTTTTCTTATATTAAGATGATCTAATTATGATTTTAAATTAAAACATAATTTATTCATTAAAATTATCTATTTTTTTACCAGTCTTTGTTTTATTAAATTTATAAAATCTATATGGGTGTTGTTTTCAAAATCCTCACTTTTTACTAGTTCTGAGTTCTGAGAAAATTTTTTAATGCTTTTTCCTTTTTCAGTGTTTAAGTAATGTTTAGATTTATCTGAAGTATTGGTTATAGTTTGATTTGTACCTATCTGTATATCACTTACAGTTTGTGAATATTCTCTTTGTATAGATTCATCATTTTCAAAAAATGTTTTTATATCCTGAGAAATACATTCAAAATTTATTGATAAATCAAATTCATTTGTTCCTAATACTTTATCAATTTTGTCATTTTCATTAGATTGAAGTTTTTTTACAATGAATTCTGTGCTACGAGCTATAGCCACATTTTCATCAGAAGTATCAAAACATACAGTATCTTTATTTGCAATTCTTCCTCCATGTAAAAATGCAGACATATTTTTTCGCCGCCACATTTTTGATGTTTGAGGAATAAATTGTTTACATTTTCCTTCAAATAAAACTTCTTCTATATTAATGTTTTTGATTTCTCCCTTTAAAAATTGTAAATATTTCTTTAAAGAAGTAAAGAAATGTAATTTATCTGTCATTCTTGGAAAATTTGCACAACGAGCACTGCTTGACGGAGTGACCCAAATTGCAGTTTCATTTATACGTTCTGGTTGTAACCCAAAAGTAAAATTATCAACTTTATTTGCAAATATCTTATAAATACATTTGCCATTAAAAACAGCTATCTTTGGCTTGTAAAATTTCAGTTTTTCTTCTATGATTCTAGAACCTTCTTTGATTTCTATATTTTTTAAATCAGCAGAAGATTTTGTAGCACGAGCAACTATATTTGTTAAACCAATTTTGTATCGAAGTAATTTGTAATCTTCTTCATATGTTAAACATCGGGATGTCAAGCCTGATTCATGCAAGAGTTTATAAAAGTGATTGCCTGGACCAGCATAATATCTACCACGGTAAGCTGCCATTAAACCTGGATTTATGCCAATGAAAACGATATCTAGGTTTATATCAAGATAATCTGGTAAAGTATGCTTTTGTACTTCTTCTTCTGTTAATCCATCAAATCGATTAATCTTTTTTCGTGATTCACCAATTTTTTTTACAGATATTTTCTTTTTCAATTTATTCAAAGTAAGTAAAGACATTTTTCTGTATAAATTATAATTATAGATTAAGAGCACAATATTATGTTAATTCGGACATGATATTTGTGACAATGTAGTTTTAGCTTTGTTGATAACTGTTTTGAATCGGCTTAGGTTAAATAGCACAAAATTTTCATGTAACTTTTAAATTCCACATTTTAAATATGTTACATAGTATATTTTTTGACATTTTATTTATATATTGCTTTCCTTCATATATAAAAAGTTGGTTACGTTATTAGGCATAGACAAGATATTGAATAGATCATACGTTATATGTACTTTTTCGGTCTGACTTCTGTAGTTACAAATGTCTCCTTACTATTTCCATATCAGCGCAGCTTTACCAACAGAGTATCGAAACTGATAATCGTATAAGTTAAGAATTGCAATGAATTCAAGGTATCCTATTTTTATAATAAATCGAAAAAAAATTTATAAGAAGTTATTATATAATTTATAATATAATAAAGCATCGCTAAATTATGACAAATTGAATAACAATATTTGTAAATAGAATCAAAATAAGTGATAAAAATGTAAATTAAGAACTTCATGTTATATCAAAATTAATTTTTTGGCAATTTTAAAAAATTAAAATGTGTTTTGACTTTTAATATTTCTTGTTCTTTACTTTATTTTTATGAAATTTGAGTATTTTCATTATTCATAGAGTACAACTTGCAATTGTATTTATATTTTTCTCTAATTTGTTTTTGTGTAATATATACAATGCGAAATACTGAAAAATATTCATTTTTTATATACTTAAGAGATTCACAGTAACGATCGCAGCTTTGACGTGTGACTAACTGTAACCTTTAATAAAGATTTTTAGTTTCATTGTGCAATAAAGGATATATTTGTAGGAAAGAAATAAGGACGGCCCTGAAAGAATGTCAAGAATGTTTGGACTTACAATTAGAATGAAAGTGTCCGCGTGCAAGAGGACCGAATGTAAGGAATGTTTATGTCAAAGCTGAATACAAATGAAGAATGAAAGCCTAGGAATGCGTCTGACAATGAGTGTTTAGGATACGTGAGCGATCGATTGAGAAAGAGAGCATGGGTATGAAAGAAGATAGAGTGCAAGGGTTGAAATAAGAGTGCAAAGACACGGAAGAGGCAGTGTGTCAGAGATAGCGAGCGAGAGTTAGCCGAGAGTTATTAGTGCTTAGAATAAGTTTTAGTTTAGAATAAATAATTTTTATATTTACATCACTGTTTATTCTGTTGCCTACCTATTCCTACATATTTCATACATACATACATACTTACATACATACTTACATACATACTTACATACATATGCATATGTATATTCACACGATACTGTTACGCGAATTTATCCTTGACATACATAATTTTGTTATGCATTACGTTATAAAGTGCAAAAATTATTTTTAACATTTAAAATCGCTTCACTTGAAGGATTAAGAATAATTGATCGTTGATCGATAGTATCGAGTTTGTCATGACAGATATATTAATATCTGCGAAATTTCATTAAAAAAAATAAGGATTCGTGCTATGAATGTGCGATGTATTTGTATATTTTACGAACCACAAGCCTAATTACGTTACTACCCGATGACGCGTTCGGATTATACGTCGGAAATGATATACAGTAATGCACGGCTAAATTCGACCAAAATTTGCTCGGATAAATTTACGTGGACTATCTCTATTATTCTCTTACTATTTAGTAGCTCAGTGAAATCTGATTTAATTGACAAGGAGAGAGATTGGGTAAAACGAAAAGGAAGGAGATAGATATAGTACAAAGAGAGGTCGGTATTGAAGAAAGTAAACATGGAAAAAAATTTACTTTCCGTAATTTTCATCTTGTCCTTTCGAAAATAGTACTAACGAATTCTTGAGTTAAGACGATTAAAACTCCGATTAAAACGAGTCCAAACTGAATCGGCTGAATCATGTCAGCCAATTAGTGATTATGAAAAGCATGCCATCGAGCTTTGCAAAGGGCACAAAAACAGGACCCTCGACGACACAGAGAGAGAGAGAGAGAGAGAGTCCTGAGTGGCGAAGCCTTGAAGAATTCTCGTGAAAATAGATTGTGACCGGCACGGGCGTGAGTCGTTTGGAATTGGAGAGAGACGAATTAGAGCATATTTTCCATGTGTTATAGTTACGTTATTTTAGTATTATTTTCTTGCGTTAAAATTAGTTTCCGAGTTTGGTGTTCGTTTGATTCTGTTCATATTGTTCGGTCCATTTTCGGTGTCTCAAACCGTTCGCGCAGATCTGATATTCCTTTGATAAAAGAAACAACGCATATACATTATTTCTGTACATTTCTGAAAATAAAATAAACCCCGTTTTCGGCATCCTGCAATAACATTAAACTAAAGTTCTCATTTTCATCTTTAAACTGTACAAATAATATAGATTAAAATTTTTATCGAATTAGAACTGCATAACTAAGTGTATGCATATAAGTTCTAATTTGGAATATGCTTGAAAATATATCGCGAGGGATTAAATAAGCGAGAAGCACTATGTCGGATTTCGTCGGAGTTTATTATGCATAAGGATAATTATACACAAAATGGTCTACATTTGTTTCGGGTCGCCAACGAACTGCCCTTTTCCAGCTCTGGCCCACGCGTCATGGTCCGCGTGTCCGCGAGTCATGGAGTTTGGTCGTAAAGACATAAACGCATAAACCAGGCCCCCGTTAACTTGGGACCCTCGATGGTTTTCTTCTTTGCAAGTACGGATACGTTCCTACAACACCTCCTCTCCAATGACAACGATATGTTTACGTGCTAACCGGAAAAGAAGAAACAGAAAAGAGAAAGTAGAACTGATAGAGAATAGTGGAATACAATCTCACTTACACACTTCCATTCGCATACACTTATTACAATCATACTTATACGCACATTTCACAGTCATGCTTTAATATCTATACATCTTATCAATATACGCATTCCTGTTATATATGCACTTATTGTTAGCCTACTTGAGACCGGCCTGAAAACGCTGTGGAAAATGAACTGCCCTACCCGAACGGGTTCTAAGGCGTTCTCTTTTACGGGGCCGGGTTCAAAAAATTTTCGGGGCCAGAATACACAATTTTCACAACGAATAATAAATTTCACGGTGAGGAATTATTTATTATATTTCAGTACAAAGGATGTTACATATTATATATTTTTTATAAGATGAATATTAAATTATTTTTCTTGCTATTTTCACTGCCAAATCTTTGATTACGTCATCAAAATAAATTTTATAATAAATTGAATTTGCTATTTCGCTTTGTATTGAAAGAATAACCAGAGATATGAATCGTTCTTGGCTTATTGACAATCGCTGATAATTTTTGATTAGTTTCAAACGCGTGAAGCTACGTTCAACTGAAGCCACGATTACTGGCGTAGTTAACATTATTTGTAACACAATTAATATATTTGGATATGCCTCCGAAAGAATGTTTTTTACAATATAATTCATCGAATCTAGAGCCGAATGATTGGCTTGCGTTATCGACTGGAACATCTTAATTTCTTCAAACATTCCAGTTCCGTCGAAATTTCCTTCCAAATTTAAGTGAAGATCTTGACAATATTTTAATAAATATTCATCACTTAATTTCGCAATCTCATTGATATATAGAAAACCAAAAATATTCTGGTGATTTGTACATAATTTAAATCTATTTTTAAACGATACTAACGCGCAGTATCTATTATTTTTGAAAAGCAATGTATATGGAAGTATTCTTCGTCACTAATAGTCGATGATTCATCCTGTCCTACATAATCAAATAATTTTAGTTTTTTGCCCCTGTGTGATGACTGGAAATCTGGTGCTATGTCGATTTCCTTTGCAACTTCATTTGCTGTGATCATGGCTTTGTTGAATCCTGCACTCCGGTATTTCACAAAGAATACATTCAGACCTTTTAGATGCTTCGTGGCCAAATCTATTTGCATCCTTTGATTTTGCAATATTTCACCGACAGTATTAATTTTTAATAATATTTCGTACCAAGTGAATAAGACTGGCAATAAATTCAAATTCATTTATCTTTCGCACTGTAGATAAAATCTCGATGGCAATTTCGTTCAAAGCATTTCGAAATTGGTCAACTTGAAAGCGAATAACCTTTACACTATCAAACCGGCATTCTCACCTAGTTTCTGATGATGGTTTAGGTGTAATTTTATCAACGTGTTTTTTTTTAAATATCCCAACGCGATGTTGATGCTGCAAATATTGTATAAATGTTTTGTAAAACACCGAAAAAAAAATGCGGGGGTTGATGATTTTGCTATATCTCCCAGTAACAAATTCAAGTTGTGACTACCGCATGGTACGTAAAACGCTTTATGATTTTCACATAATATATTTACTTCTACTCCCAGATATATTTCCCTCATATTGACACCATTGTCATATCCTTGTCCGCGACAGATATTTTTATACCCAACTGATCCAGAATAAGCATGACTGTTTCATTTTCTTGAATGACTTTTTCATTTTTCCTGTTATATCGTGAACTATTTCAAATTTGATAAAATGTTGTTTGATTTCAATCTCATCTGGTCTGGTGATATGTTAATATAACGAAAGACAAGCCATAATTGCTCCTGATGGTTCACATCTGATGTATAATCCAATAAAATGGAATAGTAATTTGTTCTCTTTATTGAATCGGTAATAATTCTTGTACTTTATTTGCTATTTTACTTATTAATTTCTTTTGATTTGAATGAGATAAATAATGATGTCCCTTTATGGCAGTTCTGTTTAAATGTTCATTTAGAACAGAATTAAATTTTGTAATTAATTGTATTAAACACAAAAAATTACTATTGTGCTGTGTGTACAAAGTATCGGAGCTTCCTCGAAAAGCTAAATTATTAGGTGTAGTAAAAAGAAATCTATTATGTTTGCATGAAATTGAAGGCTTTGTTTAGCATAGTTAGAATGATCCGATTTAGGTCAAATATGTACCGTTTTGTTCGATAGCT